AGAGAGAGAGAGAGAGAGATTCTCCATTTTACAACAGAATACATACCCGTCTGATTTCCATCGCGTCCTACTTCTCGCTACACCGCCACTGTCATAAACAGTTGGAATCCTATTCGTCTTGTTTATCATGCACGCGCGTCGATGCGTGTAATTCGTACAATGCGGATATTCGCCGTGCGATAACTCGATTATTCGTGCGTCAGCTCGCTCCCGGCGATCGTCGTAACGTTAATCTCATACGTCGATCAAAATGTGTTTTGCAGAATCGGCGGGTGTGTTTCGAAGAGAGCGAGAAAGACTTCTTCCGTGAGAAAGGGGACGATGACCGGCGGAGACGCTGCGAGATTCATGAGACCGCCAGAATGTAACGTCTAGCCGTCGCAAATTGAATCCGCGCATCGAACCATAAAACCTATTCTCGATAATAAAAAGCGACGGATTATCGAGATGAGCGGAATGAAGAAGGCGATCGGAGGGTCCATTCACAGAATACGGGAGTTCGAGCTCGAGAAGGTAACACCGCCCGTACACTTTTCCGCGTTCTTCCGTTCTTGGTCCTCCTCGTTCACGAGCGGTCGCAATTGGATTTACCTTTGTCAGCGTGGCATTTCCCCAAAGTCCCCGACGTTTCCCTCGAGAATAAAGCCTAAACAACGGCGGCGGTAGCGAAGCTTTTCCAGTTTCGAGACATTGAGATCCCGAAATAGGATTCGCAGCATTTCATTATACTCGCTCGACTAACGGCCATTCTCCTGCCTGGCAATGCCCCAATGTTTCCACAGTTTAACAGAGGATCCGTGACGACGACGACGACGACGACGACGACGACGACGACGACGACGACGACGTTTGCGACCGTGACTCGTCGTCGTTGTTGGATCACTCCGTGACTTTGTATCTAACTAATTGAATCACACAGACTCATACCTCTGTGATTACATTCTTGATAATGACACAGAATCTAAATGGTATCTGAGACTCAATCGAAGGAGTGAAATATTTTAATTACATCTGCAGATGGCTATTTTGTGTTCTCCATATTTCGTTAATAGTAATTTATTCATTTTATGCATGTATATTAAAATACGGGAAAATTTATATATTATCCGTGAGATATTTGAAAATAAATTAAATTTCTCTTGATTGACTTTAATTATTATTGTCCATTTAATTAATTGTGTTTGTAGACACAGTTCATAACGCTAAATAAACGAAGATTCGGCGAATCTTGTCTCGTTTCTCTTATGCCAACACACATTTAAAAATTTCTTCTATTGCATTAGGTATAAAAAAATAATAAAAAATAATAATTTTACTTTTTTAAGCAATTCGCAGTTTACGCTTTTGCCCCTAGTCTAGTCGAAAAACTCGTGGACGCTCGCTCCGCAATAAGATATACGGTTCGACGAAAAACGGTGTTAAGGGAAAACCGTCTTGTGTGTCGAGTTGCGCTCGCATTGGGATCGAAACGTGCGTTCGAAGCGTGCGTCGGTGTAAAAATAGACGTCGCGCAGAGATCGGCGTCAGGCGTCGGCGTCGTATTCAGCGTACGGCGGATAACGGCACCGTTGCCGTGGTTCGGTAGTGTCTAGATCTCTACACACGTTTTCCCTTCGGCATTGCATTTCCCTCGTGCGTGACACCGCGTGCGTTCGCGCCGCGTCCTTTGTCCCCGAAGCCCGCGAAGTCTCTCTCGAGCTCCGAGCGCCATTACTGTGATCTGACGCGGGCCTAGGCACTCGATCCGGCTCCGGAAAGTAGCGATCCTCGATCGATCACGACGTACACGTCATGTGCGAGAGCGCGTCGAGAGCTAACTGTTCTCTGGGACAGGTGAACCTGATCGACGAGTTCGACATCCTGCAGATCGTCGGCGAGGGATGGTTCGGCAAAATCCTGCTGACCGAGCACCGCAGCACGCAGACCGAGATGGTGCTGAAGGCACTGCCAAAGGCGTACACCGGCCTCTCGGACTTCTTTCGGGAATTTCATTATGGGTTACATCTGTCGGCGCACCGAAATATTATAACCACCTACGACGTGGCATTCGAGACGGCCGGTTTCTACGTTTTTAGTCAGGAATACGCCCCGCTCGGTGAGTGATTTTTTTCTTTTTTTTTTCTCATGACGCTCGTGCTCGCACGTGCACGTGCCGGTTTTTTATATCTCTTATCCTAAATCAGGCGCGTTCGTTAACTTTTTAATTCTGGATTCCGTTGCGTAATTTAGTTTGTTTTTTTTTTATTCGTGTAGAATTCGAGTAGAACGATATTTTATTTCAAAAAATAAAAAGTTATGACTAATTGTTAAAATAAAACAAATGATAACTTATTGTTCGTATAATATTTTACACATTTTACACATTTTACACATTTTTTTTACAATGGAAAATGAGACTAAGGTATAAATATTTTTCGAGACGCGAGATCATTTACAAGATGAGTGTCGAGTGTTGTAAAAAACATGACGTTCATATTGTCACGGGAATATGTCTCAGTTACGATGCCATTGATTTTCAGGTGATCTCACGTCAAATGTGACGGAGACGGGGTTGGGTGAGTTACACGCAAAGAGGGTGGCTAGGCAACTCGCCGCCGCGGTGCATCACATACACAGCCGCGAGCTGGTGCATCGTGACATCAAGCTCGACAACATACTCGTGTTTCGCAGCGATTTTTCGCGCATCAAGCTCTGCGATTTCGGCGAGACCAGGCGAGTTAACACCATCGTGCGAAGGCACAACGAGTGGCTGCCATACTCGCCGCCCGAGGTATTGCAGATCGACACTGACGAGACGTACAAGTAATTATACGCTGTAATTAATATTATAGCTTAGCATTGTTAACGATGCGTGATATTTATGTATACAAACGATTGAAAAAAAGGATTCTAGGAAAATAGGATAAAATTGGTATAAATGGATAAAATCTTATTTTCCAGGAATTACAATCTACTTTTACGTTTATTTCTACCAATATCTATTAATTTCAATCTCGGTTTAATTTTTCCTTTCAATACTTTGAATTGAAAAGACATAAAAAGTAAGTTAAATCAAGATTAAAGTTAATTTATGTTGACAAGGAAATATAAATTTACGATTATCTTGGTTCCATCGGTCATAACTGCATCTATCATGGGAGCGAAAATGTATTGCGAAAATGAGTATTCGATTTTACTCTATTTTCTTCGCGCTTCTAAAGTTTCAGAGTTCTATGTTTTTAACATTCCATAGTTCCAGAGGAACGAAACTTTAATTGACCGTAAAACAAAACGCGACGACAAAAACGACAAGATGCGCATGAATGATACTCGAGATGTAGCTTGGACGTTGAAGATATACATTCTAACGACGATGGATGGCTGACTTTCAGAGCCCGCACGTCGCACGACGTCTGGCAATTCGGCATTGTCCTATTTGTCTGCCTGACCGGATGCCTGCCATGGCAGAAGGCGGCGATGGACGATCCGCGCTACACCAGATATCAAAACTGGCACAACGCGACGCTCAACATCGCCAAGAAGCCGAAATTATTTCAGCTGATCAGCTCGCGGGCGCAGAGGTGGGTTTCTACTCGGGAATCCGAGAATGCGAGATTAAGCGCCGCAAACATCTCGAATACGAGACGCGTAATACGATATAGTTGGCTGTTATTCATTCAGAATTCGTTATTGGTTTATCATCAGATTTTCAAGAATATTGTTATTCAAGCAGAATTTATTAATAAAAAATTATAACAATTTTATGACAAAATGTATAAATAAATAAATAAAAAAACTCAGTTCGTTTCTTATATATTTTTAACATTTTTTTTTAAAGAATGTTCAAGAGATTATTGGACCCGAAGGCTGAAAAACGACCAGTCAGCGTGTTGGAAGTAAATAAATATTTAGAAGACAGATGGCTGGCAAAACTCGGAGTCGAAAAAACGTTAAACGGTCAGTTGACATCGCATCGATAGTATCGGCGATATGTCACGATATCTTAGCGACATTCCTTTTTACATCCCGTAGGCGGCGCCGACGAGAAGGACGAGCTTTGTCCGTCTATGTACAGCTTCCACAGTTCCTTGGAGGAGAAGAACCAACTCCTCCACACTCTTACGACGTACGGCATCGAGACGACGGTGGATCGTTCGAAGAAGAAGGACCGTATCAGAGAGTGGATACAAGCTAGCGCGATCGTCGAAGAGAATGAGGGGGACGAGTCGGATATTTACGAAGACTCGGAGTTCTATGAAGATGAAGACAGGGACAACGACGGGAATGGTGGAAGCGAGGAGACCGAGTCGACCTCCATGAGAGGCAGGCATTTCCCGGAGAGGCGTCCGAGCGTCGCGACGAACGATCGTAGAAAGAGAAGAGGCAGCGGTAGGGTCGCGACGGGTCGGGTCGCGTCGAAAAACAGAGTGCCCGTAAAACCCGTCGAAAGGAAAATACCCTTCGCGCCTCAAGTGGCCGAAGAGCGAGAAACGATCGCGCGCTTCGCCAGCTTTCCCAACGGCGATCCGAACCTCGCCGTTGTGAGTAACGGCAGCGATCGGGCAGCTCACGATCTTTCCGCAGCCTCGACGAACGTCGCGACCGACGTATCGTCGATGGCGAATAATTTCTCCTCGAGCGATCTTCCATTCTCCGTGCCTAACGTTAATGATCGGTACGTCAAGGATTCTGGGAGGACTAGCGCTAACAACTCCCGGGACGAATCACCTCTTTCCGCGTTGCCGGTTACTGCTTTTTTCCCCGTCAAACAATCGCCACCGAAAACGACGTCGAACATTTTAGACAACGGGAATAGAGCTGCACCGATGAGTCCGCAAATCCCGGCTAGAAAAAATCGCGCTCACACGGCGCCGTTTTCGGATACGCGATCGGCCGAGGTTAATCGTGCCGATTCGGCGAGGAAAGCACAGTCCGCGACAGTTTTACGGACCTCGGAAACGGAGGATCCGCGCGTTTCGGGAAAAACGTCCGTCTCCTCGCATTCGATGGCAGCGGATAATTCGTTATCGACCTCACGAGCGACGAAGCCGGTCGCTTCATCGGTCACTCGAGTTGACAGAGCGGCGATGCCAACGATAAGCGGTGCATCTCCAATCGAGTCTCAGTCTCCTAACAGCCCTCTTCCTGGTCGAGTTGAAGGCTCATCACCAATCTATACGCAAATCACGACGCCGATTGCTCCCGCTAAGACGGCCGCTTCTCACTTAGCAATGCAGAGCTTCAACACACTGCAAAATATCGCGGGCACATCCTCGGTCGCTTCGTCGACAAGCACATCGTTAAACACAAGCAAGCCCGATCAACGGGTCGAAGAGAACATGAACATGGCTTATGGCAAAGATGCATATGAACACTACGGCATCGCCCAAGGTGTCATACTGCCGATGAGAGTAAACATCGTTAGGCAGGATTCCGCTGGTAGCGGTAGCCGATCTGTGAGCAATTGAGATACAAACTTGAAGGGTGTGTTGGATTTTCCTTGAGAAAAACTGGAAGTCGGGTATATTTAAGCAAGTAAGCGGAACCAATCAATCTTACCGTCAATATACTTGAAAGTACACGTTTGACGGAACATAATGAAGTACATGTTACTTTTTCCAAAAGAGATTTAAAGCGAATGAAAGATTCTCAAAGGTACTGAAGGTACGCGAAATACGCGCATTCGCGAATGCTACATTTATTTGTAATATATATTTAATAACGTCGATATTGCTTCGGTCAAAGATTACGAAGAGTTCCTTCGGCATCACGGCGTGTTCAACGTGTACGAAGTAAATGTCGTCGCGAAAATAACGTTATACTAGAACGCCGTAGATGGAGACGTCACGTTACGTACATTATACTTCATTAGTTTCAAGAGATACTTATATCGCCACGTGTCGCTCGCTTCACCAAACATAACGGGATAAAATTAGCGCGACGTCTCGGAAGAATTGCACTGTGCAAGAATGTTCCCGAGGCTGTTAGCGGTCGATCGTTTCCGACCGTGGGAAACGGTAAAAATTTTTATTCGAATGTGATGCGAGCCTGCGCGCGCCTCGTTAACATTTCAATTTTTTTAATTACGGACCCTTAACCAATCTTATACTAAGTATCTCTTCGAGCATTGTTTAGAAGTTGTGGTTGCGAATTGTAAGTTAATTAAATATACACGCTGTTGTGATACTAGAGATCCTGTCTAGAATATTATCTGACTAATATAAACATAACAGATTTTGATAGATACGAAAGAGAAAAATGTAAAACGTACATAAATGTAATGATTTGTACATTAGTATACACTTTAAAGGCATATTACCTTGAGAGATAATATTTGTTGTTTTAATAATATACTATTTTATTTTTCTTATTAAAAAAATTAAAATATCACCGACTAGAAAAGTATTTAAAGTAATAGTTTGATTTTGGGAAATTGTATGGATTTTTGGAAAGACGCTTGTATAAGACTTGCGATGTAGATAACTTTTGGTCCCGAATGCATTGGTTTGCATTGACTCAGAGTTTATTTTAGGGACCACTTTTGGATTTGATCTAAAAAGCTCTTGTACAGGTTCTTGAGAAATTTCATTTCTCAAAATCAAACCACTCTAGATATTTTCCTGGTGAGTGAGAAATTATTGTAATCTTGATGCGACTTGTGGCTATCGAGAGTTCGTCCAAATACAGAAGAGACAGACGTAACGTTTTCGCACAGGGACGCGACGTTTTGAATAAACCATCCGATACTATTTCAGACACACGCTCGCACCCACAAACATATCGAACATATGTAAACATCGAATATCGGATTGCCCATGCTAGCTGGGTACGTCATACGGGCCATTTAGATGCAAAAATACCGCATATAATTATTCTACATCATTTTGCACGACGGAATAACAAAAGCGATCAATTTAACGTTACATATTGAAAACTACCATTGCAAAATATACGCGAAATGCGGTCGTTTATGATTAACGACATAATTTCTGCTGATACGTGATTGTCTGGTAAAGACTAAAGACATGCAAGCGCTGCGAAGTTGCTAATTAGTTATCGGATGTTCGATATTACCTGATTTACGTGCGGAGGCGGAGACGTGACTATTAGATAAGCTTCCTTCGACGGTGAGCTGCTGCTTAAACGCCGACGTCGGGAGCAAGGACGACGTGAGGGTGACGAAAACGGAAGGGGGCGAAGAGGATGGCGGGGCGCTCCGGCGAAGAGCCACGGAAACCGGGAAGGGGGGAGGAGGGCAGGGGGGGAGGACGACGAGAGTGCGCGAGTTTGACGATGTGGAAATAATTCCCGGGCGGGTCGTGGCACGAATTAATTAAGAGATACGTAAGTAACGCATATTGCGCAGGAGGGGCAATTACCATCGTCTTTGAGGAATAACGCGGTAACGTGCGAAAGATATGGAGGACCGCTGCCTGAAGGTAGTTTGTTGTTTATCGTCGGGAACTAACTGCATGACGATATATTGCGACGCAGGCTGCGGCGGCTCGAAACTTCTTCGACGTGCGCGTTAATTAGTGCCTAAGTCGACGTGATTCGCGGAATCACTAATTAACATTTCTGATATCGTGATATCATTATAGATCCGCTCGTCCTCGCATCGTCAATGTAATAATAAGTTTCTACAATTACGACATATAATACATTTTCGCGTTTATATATGTTTATAATATATGGTTTCGCAGATGCTTGTTGATCTTCGTTGTTGATAAATTAATTCTGGCCAATTAGTTAATTAATATCGGTGCTAAGTGACTGCCATTGGTCATTATCGATTTTGTATGCGACAAATGTGCAGGGTATATATATACATATGTATGTATATGTATGCACGTGCCATATATTCTGTTCTGGTAACACGCAGTTTCGACGTAGTCAATCTTGGCGCTATAAGAGCCAACGTTCGGGACCCGAAGCTGCAGAATAATTATTGACTCTACCGCACGCATCCGCTCACGAAATAATCGTGACTGTCCTTGATACGATGGAGCGCAGCTGGTAAACGTGGCTGACCGACGAAAATCGTCGCTTTGCCGAGCGTCACGCTTGACACCTTTGCTGTCCGGTACCGATCGTCCAAAAGCCGCGTGAATGAAAATTGATGAAACCACAATTGGTGTTAATGGTGTGCCACAACTTCCCCCTCGTTGGTACCGTTTAGCAACCTTCTGCATCCTCGTTACGTCGCCGAAAGCGACAGTTATTTCGGGATCGATCGGGTCTGTTTCCCGAGTTGAAGATCTACGTGAGATCTCGTGCACGACGTACAAGTTTGTAATCGCTAATGATATTGTTAAAATAAATAAAACAGATTTCTTACGGTCTCTGTTTATGTTTTTTCAAACGAGAGATATCTTGCATCTTGACGATCCTCCGGATAAAGAAAATACTATTAGATATTTGATATTTTCAGATTTTCAACTTATTTGAGGCGCACTTGAAATGTATGTTTGTAAGTGGAATTATATACATAAAAAAATAAAAAATAATTAAACCATACAACTCATAATTATTTAGCATTATCAAGGACTTTAAATAACCATTTTAAATTACATCAAATACATGCACTTTCCAAGTAGAAAAAAAAATTGGAAACTAGCTAATATCTGATCAGTTTTACTGGTTACTGGATAGTTTGTTTAGATAACAACTAGAGAATAAATCAATTTCTAACTAGTTCTTAGAAGTTATTAACTAATTTTTATATAATCTGTTCCTATTTTTAAAAAATCTGAAAAAATTAAATTTGTATTTAGAATATGATTTTATGTACATGTACATGATGATTACTTTTTATTTAAAAGCATTATACTTTTGTAAATAAAAAAATCTTGAATTTATAGAAAAAGTACTTTTTTCAAAATTAAACCCATTTTATTTATGATTTCAAAATAAAAAATAAAATTTCAGTATTCCTTATATTAATATAAATATTTGTGAGTATAAAATAATTTATAAATTTACAAAATATTTCTTTAAATATAATATAATATTTGAACAAATACACTTAATAGAAAATTATATCGGTGTACTTAATCAGTTTTTGAACAATTCTCAATTATTTTTTTAACTAAGTTTGACCAGCTTTTTCTAAACATTTTTCTACTTGGGTTATTTTCTATTTCGTTATTTATACATGATTTTTTTTATTTTGTGTATTTTGTATCTTATTTTTTTCGTAATGTGATTTCTCTCGCTTAATGGTATTATAAATTGGCTAAAGAGATCGTAACATCTAACACGCACTTACACTCTCTCACGTTATGTTTTTTAAATAAAATAATTAATTTGATTACATATAATGCATGTACAAACCTCCTTAATAAATATGGAAATCATAGGTGTGATAACCATCGGGTATCCATAGTCAATGAGTGTGTCACGGCCGAGAATGAGCCGCACGATATTCGCACGGGAATACTTTGAGCGAAGCTTTGACGGGAGGGGGAGAGGAAAGGATCTTTCTGTCGCGGAGAGAGAGAGAGAG